TGAACATGGGGTGTTATTTTCAGTAGTTTTGGATATACAATACTTTGTATACAATTGTTTGAAAGTTTCTCACATACATACAATAATAATGAAAGATATATGTTACACTCCTAACAAATGCTCAATAATTAAACTGTTGAACTACATGCCACAGTGTTTCATAGGTAATCATTCTAATTTTACATTGTTTTGGCTAACATCTCTATTGTGTTTGAAATAAGTGTAATTAATTAACACTTCCAGAGAGCACATGGTTTGATGACTGAAAGAAAAAAAGTACCAGCATGTCCATCATCTGCTTCTGGGTGATAATATGATGCGATGTTGAATTTGTCAGTGGATATACCGTCATCACCAAGTATCTCAGCGAAACTCATTTTTGGTCACATGTTGTAAAGTAAATTGAGATTCATGGTTCAATTTTTGAGCATTTGTTGTGAACATAACACTTTTAAGGGAGACTGTTCCATGTCAAGACACTTTTTGGTTTACAATTATTTGTTGTGAATTGAGGCTGTAGAGAACAAATTTAATTATATGCTGCTATAGCACTATTTATTGCCCAACTTTTAAAGCTATCATTTTGTCATTATCAAAAGTGGGTTCTAAAAAAATTTACATTTTCAAAAATGGCAAATTGTCCAATCATGAAACAGGGTGATACTGAACTGGATAATGGCATTCTACCTTCATAAAGAAGACATAAAGACTTCAGGCCAAAGAAAACTCAAATATATGCATATTTTGTAAAAAGTTTAAAATCTATCATTCTTGAATAAAATAACAACACAGAAACCACTAAAATCCAGCATATCCAGTTTTAAGTTAATTGTGTTTGCTATCATTCTTGTATTTAAATAAATACAAAATGACTTGAGAATCAAAGGAGGTGACACTCATTTGACAACATAAAAATTTTCAATATATAATAGCCACTTTTCATTTAAAAACTAATTTAATAATAAACTGATTTAAGATTTTACGAGTAGCTAACATTGACATAACCGTCAAAAGAGACATTAAATAAAAAGGATGCTGACACTGCATAAAGAATGAAGAAACTACAGATTTTGGTGGTAGCAGCTTGGCAAATATGTCATTTATGTCAACTAAATACTTGTCACAACCAAGCAAATAAAAATTGTTCATAAGTTCATCATCAGATACAGATCATCCTATATTTCTGTTTAGACAATACTTTGGCAATGGCATTTTGAAGATCATTACCTATGTAGAAAACTTATTAATGGTGTAAATTTAACTCTTATAATGATTAATTTTCAAAAGATACAATGCTGATGCCAACCTGTTGCAATGTAAACAAAATCAGTTTCACTATGGGCATATTTCTGCTAACAGATATAGTGATGGACAAAACCTTAAAGACAAGCAAAAAATTTCACATAAACAACTAAATTAAAATTATTGGTTCAATCTTGATATATGCTTCATATGCTTTAAAAAAGTAAATTAATAGGCTTATATAATAATGAAAGAATAGTGTTTGAATAGTTCTTCCAAAAAGTAGAAAAACAGGACAAAACTTTAAATACAACTGAAAAAATAACTGCAAATAATAGATTAAAATCTTGTGGACCACTTTTTTTAAATAACCTCAAAAATGCAGTCTGGCATACTCATAAATGTTTTGAGTATGGAAGTTGGTATAGCACGTCATGCTTTCTCTGCTGCAACTTTTAAGTCTTTTACTGAACTGTATTGTTTGCTATCAGCATATATAGTTCTTAAGAGCACACCTCAGATATTCTCAATCAGGTTTAGATCTGGAGATTGAGATGGATGATCCAACAGTTGAACTTGTTTTTGCTGAAGCCAATTTTTTGTGATGCAAGATGAATGGACAGGTGCATTGTCTTGCATAAAATAAAACTTTCTACCTGCTAATTTTCATACATTTGGAAATAAAGTAATTTTAATCTGTTTCTGATACTTTTTTGAATCCATTCATCTATTTATGAATCCAATAGGTGACTTTTCCTTGCAAGAAATGGCAACCCACACCATAATGGAATCACCACCCATCTGTCATCAAGATAAAATCCTCTCATCTTTGCACAAATTATGAAAATAATAGTTCAGACCATCTTGACCATCCAGATTGAACTTTTTTTCATCTGAAAAAATAACCTATTGCTATTCTGTATCCCAGGACATGTCATCTCATGCTCAAGTCAACCTTGCAGTTTTATGTTCTTTAGTTAAGAGAGGTTTTCTTTTCAATTTCTTTCTTTTAAGTCGTCCTGGTGATTTTATCATTTTTTGAACAGCACAGGGATGAACTTTTAACTCTAATTGATTCACAATTTTTGATACTGATGTCACACTGTTACTTTCAATCCTCAAAATCTGCCTTATCTCTTGCAGTAAACAGGTTTTCACCTTTGTTTTTCAAGTTGTATTTATCACTTTTTTTTTTAATATAGTTGTAGACAACAGTGTGTGACTCCTTCCTATTTGGATAGCTACAGCACGATAGTTTTGTAACTGTGTGTCCATAAAATATCAATTTCTCTTTGTTCTGTCTCTGCAAGTTTTACACTTTTGCATATGTTTGACAGATGATTTTTTTGTAAATAGATATATGCAGATCTCTCTATATATGTAAACATCCTCATTTATTTACATTTATATGAAAATTTGCAGTTATTTTTTCAGTTGTATTTAAAGTTTTGTCAAGATAAATTACCTGGTTTTCTATTTTTTGGAAGAACTACTCCAACACTATTCTTTCATTATTGTATAAACCTATTAATTTACTTTTTTAAAGCATACGAACATGGTTGAACCAATAATCTTAATTAAGCTAATTGTTTAGGTGAAATTTTTGCTTGTCTTTAAAGTTTTGTCCACCATTGTATCTGGTAGTGGAACGTTGTGGAATGTCTAGTTGTGGAAACAAGGTACATTTTGCTATGCGAGTGATAGTAACAAAACTTGCAATTTGACAACATAACCAGAACCTACAAGTATCCCAATAAAGACATTTTTTCATGGCTTAGTTTCAACTGGAATGCTGCAAAACATGCTGACAGAGAATCTTACTAAATTAATGTTTGCTTGGTTTGGAAATTAGGATAATAATAACATAATGAAAAAATTTCTTCAAATTTAATTGAATTTGTTTTAATATTTTAAACTGACTTCCTGTTTTTTATAAATTTTTTTAGTTTATGTTATGATTGTTGATTGGCTGGAAACTAGAATAAAATATAAAACAAACAAAAATGAAATAAAAAAAAATTAATTTGATTTTATTCATTTATTTATTTATCCAACAATTTTCTCTTATAAATTAAATCCTGAATTTTATTGTCAAGCTTAAGCTTAAATTGCTAAATTAATTAATTAAAATTAGCATTAATATGATCTAATATGATCTGGCAATTTATATTTGTTTGATCTTTATTTTTTATTTTTTAATTTTATTTTACATAATAATATCAGAATAAATTATTTTTATTAACGTTTATTTTCAAGTTTTAGAAAGAGAATACAATTAGTTCTTAAATCAAACAACTTATATTTATAGTGGTATCTTATATTTTGAATTTAATTTGTTTCAGGAGATTGTTCAAAGTCAATCAATTTTCTCCATTAGAAATAATGGAAAGTGAATTAATCTGTTTCCAAATTCTAAACAATACCCATTTCAATGAACTTATGTGTATTTGTTGTTTTAACTTAAGGTAAAAATAACACATTTAACTGCCCTAAATAATAAATTAAAACATGAAAGCAATAAATAAAATATGTAAATATTGTAAATAAAATGAAAATTGCATTAACTGTACTTTAATGATGAGTAGTGATGTCTTATTTCTTAAGGCACTATGCAACTTGCTTGGTTTTCTCACAAATAATCCTCTTGAAGATGATATCAATAGCCAATTGCTTTTTATTCATCTACACTAGACGAAGTTTTTCCATCTCTTTAATAACAAGCAATGTCTTAGAGATCAACATTGTCACACATTTGCCTCTTTTATTGCTTCATTGTTAAGAATGGTGTACACCATTGACTTTGAAGTCTTAAACATGGCTACCAGATCTGCCACATTTGTACTGCTTTCATGTTTCATGATAAGTTCCTTTCTCACCTAAATTGTCAATACTATAACCTTCCTCGTAGGCTTTGCTGTTTCTGCACTCTTCTTGGATGCCTTGGTTAATATGTAGGGATTAAATATAAAACCAAACACACCAAAAGTAAAGTGGAGAAAAAGCACAAAAAATATATAATGCAAGAGATGCTTTTATAGTGAGAACGAGAGAGAACTTGAGCACACAACAGATGGTGTTTATAACTTTTGATGAGCACATTTAAAACTCTCATTTTAAATTTAAGCACATTTTTAATCTCTTTTTCTAGTCATAGTCATCTTGATTGGCATCTGAGAAAACTGACCTTTTTTCCACAGGATTTAGTTTGGTTTACAAATGGATTCAAAGCTGATACATTGATGGCATTTCTGGGGGATATTAAAATAGGAGTTTTTGTGTTCTGTTGGGCAAGATTCTCATTGTGTTTCAAGCCGAAGTGTTAGCTACTATTTGGTGCATTTGTTGTCCTATTAGTAAGACTATCTACATTGTTTCTGACAGTTCGGATGCCTTAAAGGTACTTGACTCTTGCTGGTTCACTTCAACACTTGTCTCAAAGAGCTGTTTATGTCTCTGTGAACTACTTCTGCAATAGTTTATTTTTGTCTTATGGCTAAGGCATGAAGGAATTGCCAGCAATATAAGTACTTATTTACATGGACAAGCACAAGCAGAGTGCTTTATATTCCTTTATTGACACTGAACCAGCTCTTGTAATAATATCTAAATAATTATTATAACATATAACACACACACATACATATATATATATATATATATTATAATAATTATTGAAACAAATTTAAAAATGTATTTTTTAATTTTTTTCTCATGTTTTGTATAATTTNACATATATAAATATATCTCTCTCTTTCTAGAATGCTTATAATGCTGCTACCTATTATACGTCATCTGGAACTGCATATTATGCTAGTACAGAACAACAAGGACAGAATGAGCAGAATCAAGGACAGTATGAAACAATTCACACTTATACTACAGTAGAAGGCATTGCTAGTGACAGTTCAATGAAATCTTCATCAAGTACTGATAATAGAGCTAGAATGGTAACAGCTGTGACTACTGGAGAAAACAGCAGTTTCCAACAAATCATGCTTGCTGTTGATGAAAGTGGAAATATAGCAGGACGAGAAATGGTTGATGGAAATGCTCAAGAAATTTCAGTCACAATCCCTGCTTCAATGACTGGAACAGTATGTCAGAATTTTATCATATAACTTTGTGTAAAATAATTATGGATGAATATTATTATTTTTTTAAATATACAAAATGAAAATTTAGAATATCATATAAAAGCAATTGTATTCATTTTAATAATATATATTTTTAAGTAGTTTTAATTAATACAGTGGTCATGATGAGTCCTTATGTTGCAGATGGTAATCAAATATAATTTGCAAAAAATGCAACATTGTTTTATTTGTAATAATATAAAACAAAAACTGCTAATAAATTTAAACATTTTTAAAACCTCTAGATTTTCATATACAATTTTTTTTTGTAAAAATGTAAATCTTTTACATTTTAAAATAATATATCATCCTGGATTTTTAGAATTTGTTTTTCTTAACAATGAAAATTTGAACATGTTTTGTCAATTAGACAGCAAGATTAGATAGGCATTATTCCTAGTTCTGCATTCCTTATATATATATATATAAAGCTATTATATCATCAAAGTGATTGCAATCAATACTAGGGACACAGCACCTATGTCACTTGCCTGGAAAGCATTATTTGAAGTCAAGTAATAAACTTCCAATATTATTGTAATATTCCCCCTGCTTACAGTTTTATTCATTTTTGTATTGTATTTTAATTTACATTTTATGTACTCCTTATTTTATATTTACCATTTTGTTTTACTTATTTTATATATTTATCAATATTTTATCTGATTTTTATATTTACTATTTATATATTCAATACTTGTGCACATGACAATATATGTCTGTCAAATACTTTTTAATTTGTTTTTCTATTTGATTTTTGTCCCATCTTTAGAACCTGTTGATGGCCTTTAAGCAAGGTTAAAAATGTTAGTTCTATCAAAAAATTTTTGTTTTTTATTGGATTTTAAGATAATTTGGATTTTTTTAATCATTTTATATGTTGAAAAAAATATTTAGAGCTTCATAACATGTGCGTAAATTTTTTGCGGTTTTTTGCCTCTTGGATGTTCAATAACTCAAAAACTGTTTATTTTTGACTTGTGTCTGTAGAGACTTTTGATAAGAACCTTTAGAACTACAAAATATCAAAGATTTGGCAAAATCCATTGGAATCCATTTCTCATAAGGTTTATGTAGGAACTTTTAAAACATTGAAAATTAAAAAATTAAATTTTGCTGTAAATTTTAAAAATTAAAAATATTAAAGGCTTATGGGGAAGATACTATGTTGAAGACCTGATGTATGAGATGTACAAGAGATTTAAAGAAGTTGCAGAAGATAAGGAAGATGATTAATATCTAGATAGACTAGTGATGATGTATAATGCAGAATTACAAGATTCAGGAGGAAATTAGATTTCCACGTTTTGAGCTAAGTTTTATACATATCATCAAGCTATGAAGTCTCAATATATTACAAAGTATTAATCAAAATTATCACCTTTTTACAAATTCCAGCAAATATTTTAATATCATAAAAACGTTTTCGATCGTCTTTAGCGATCATCATCAGTTAAAAAGAACATTAAAAATAGAACAAAAATCAAATTTATGAAAAATAATAACTGTGCATGTGTAATGATGAGCGCTTAACGGAATGAATACAAAAAGTTAGGGATATAAGACTAAAAGTAAATAAATAAATAAAAATAAAGAGCTCAACAGTTTCTCATTAAAAATTAATGTTTCATAAAAATTACAGGTTATCTTCATAGAATTCATTCCGTTAAGCGCTCATCATTACGCACACGCAGTTATTATTTTTCATAAATTTGATTTTTATTCTATTTTTAATGTTCTTTTTAACTGTTGATGATCGCTAAAGACGATCGAAAACGTTTTTATGATATTAAAATATTTGCTGGAATTTGTAAAAAGGTGATAATTTTGATTAATTCTTTCTAGTTCCAGTACAAGTTATTATTTTTATATTACAAAGTGGAAATCTCATCTCTGAACATACAAGTTGAAAGTAGCAGTGACATAATTACATCATCATAATACAGTAGTCATCATATGTTTAAACATTAATTTTATTAATCATAATACTTAGTTTTAAAATAAAATATTGAAGAAAATTTAAAATATCTTATTAAACTGAAACACTATCAAGAATAATAATTTTGTCAATTTTTCCAACTGTGTTAATTAAACCATAATCATGTCATTCAAGTACCATGTAAATTGAGGGTTAGGCCTGCACTGTATCAATTGAAAAAATATCAAAATTCTGAAATGAAGGAATCCTTGAATATTTTAATCAAGATTAAATGTTTGAGAAATTTTGTCTCATCATTAGATCAACCATCAAAAAGTGATTCAAATAAAAAAATAGTTTTTTTTATATATTTTTGAAAATTTTGTTATTTATTTGAATTACTTGTTGATGATTGATCTAATGATGAGGCGAAATGTCTTAAAAAAAAACCTTGAATATTTTAATCAAAATTAGACTTTTTAATTTTAGCCTTTCAATATTTGTTTGAGGTTTAGACATATTTAATTACAAAACAATTTTTTTCTTCATTACTATAATTTATTTAAAAAATTAAATTAAGTTTAATAAACTGTTTCATAACATTTTAAAATCATTTTCAATTTATGGATATTTAAGGTAAATGAAATTTTTCATTTTTATGAAAGGGATATGGGGCCTAGAAAATGTTGCAAACTACTGCTCTAAGTCATTGTTTTTTCAAATTTAGTTAACATCATTCTAAGTTATTTTATTATTAATGATATCAATACACATATTTGTGTCAAACTGTCTAATCATTACCAATTTAATTAATTAAACAATAAGCTAATTTCAGTGCATTATTATGAATTTTATAAAATATATTTTATGGTAAAGTTTTTTAATATTTTATAATTTGATTTATTTAAATTATCTTCAGTTTAATTTATGAAGAATTAGTAAAGTCAAAAACAACTATTTTAATAGAGAGAGAAAAAACGGTAGTGTAATTTTGTATAGCTTGTGAAAAACTTACGATACATAGATAGATAAACTATAAGAAATTTTGTAATAAATAAGAATGTGAAGATTTTCCATTTCGAATAGAAAATCCTTATTTAGATTAATTTTAAATAGTATTTTAATATTTATATTTATGTATTAGTTTGAATTTAAACTGTTGTTTTATGCTATATCATTTGATGTTCCATTACAAGAATTTTCATAACTGGAACTTGCCTAAAAAGATGAAAAACATTTGGCAATTTGGAAAAAGCAGTGCAAATTTCTATTTTTACAATATGGTTCCAAGAATTTTTCAATTTAAAAACCCTTACAAAATTTCTTATTTATAGTGCATATTTAATGGAAAAAAATTTTATACAAAATAATATTTGAAAAAATTAATTTACTTTATCAAGATTAAGTTTAAATTACATTTTTAATAGTCTAATATTTTATTGATATTTTCATATATATAAATGTTTTAAATATTTAGAAGAAATACAAAATAAAATTACTTTATTACAAATTTGAAGCCATGTCTTCCTGTTTTTTTTTTTTTATTGCTTCAGCATGTGCTGAAGCAATAAAAAAAATTACTTTATATTAAATGTTATGGCAGAGAACAACTTTATTGAGTGAATATGCAACAAATAGAAATATTTAACTGAAAAATAGTTTGATGTTTATATTCAATATATTATTGATTAAAATTGATATATGTTCATTTTTATGAATCAATGTTATTAACATGCATTATTTCCATTATTTTAATATTTGTGGATTTTTTTCATTACTAGTTATTTATAATTTCATTATATTAAATATTTTAGATGAGACATATACATCATGAAACTACAGAAGAATTATTGAAAGCAGTAGAGAATCAAAGTAATTCTACTGAAACCACCCAAGCTTTAGATCAGCCAACATTTGTTGCAATGCAACCTGGTACATCACATGATAATCAAACTGAAGCTTCAAGTACAGATAACCAACAGGTTAGTCAAAAAATCATCAGTGTTTCAAAGCAATAATTAAAATAAAAAGAATAAACAGAAATGATGTGCACTATGGGAATATTATGTTAGACACACTTGTTCCCATACCTTAAAAGTTTAACTATCATTTATAAATAAAAGTATTTTTCTGCCTTAAAAATTTTTAAAAATTAAATCATAAAGCTAAGGAATGAGTATTCTTTCTTACTGTTTATTTGATATAAAAGCAAGACTATTTTTACTTTGAAAATTGCAGTCTTTAATCCAAAAAAGTTTCCACAAGATATAGTGTGTTACTAATTCAAAATATACTGTATTTACTCACATATAAGACAAGGTTTTTATTCATTTTTCACTGCTTCAAAAACCTAAGTCTTCCTATATGTGCAAGCAAAGGATTCTTCGCGTTTTTGCAATAATTTTTGTGAATCGTGTATTTGCATTTTTTAAATGATGCTCATCCTATGGTGTTTAAAAACAAAAGTATTTTATCTGAGTCATTTGAATCGTTCTTATATATTGTCAGGAGTAAAGATGAATAGCAATAGGAAAAGTAAAACTTTTGAATCAAATTTCAGATTGAAATCCCAAAATCACATGGGAGCCCGATATAAGTTTTAATCCATTCCCATGTGAAAATAGATGATTATTCGGAAATCAGAATTTGGAGAAACTCGTAAGTGTAATTGACGGAGAGTGGATTTGACTGTTAAGAATTGGCAAAAAAGGTTCCCAATTGTCCAGCTTTACATGAAAAAATTATGTTGTTGATTTTAAACAATTTTTCCTTAAAGTTTAAGATGCCAGTAATTTTTTCAGAACAATGTGTGCATTTACGTTCATTTGATATTTTATTTGTGATTAAACGAAATAAAATTAGAATTGTATTAATAAACCTAATTTTCTTTATGTTGATCTTTAAAGTCACACCTCATCCTATATGTGAGTAAATACGGTATTTATGATTGAAAATTCAATCTATTATAAATATGTGAATTTAAAACATCTTATATTGTGTTGTCTTTTCTCCTAAAAATGTACAGTCGACCCTCCCTATAACATGGTAGATATGTTCCGGTTTTTATGAATCCATTTTCTACAAGTCTAGCCAATCACAGCCCGGCACATATGCAGTTTACAGACTACGGCTGTTTGAAAGGTTTTCTTCCATAAAATTAATCGATTCTAGACTAATTTGACTCAACATTTCCAAATCATGTATAATTTTTTGGGAATAATCCATAAAAACTATGCTATAAACAAAAAATTGTAGGATTACTTACCGAGTGTGCACCATTCGACCGCGCCATTGCTTAAGCTTGTTTTCGTTGTGGAGCTTGTCATCGAATGGCGCTCGCGTGCTTCCTGATAAATTATTTTTTTTGCGAAAAATTTGCTGAACTTTGGAGACATCATTAATATAAATATAATTTTTATGGACGTTAAATAATAAATGGTTTTAGTAGGTCCGCTGCTCATATAACCTCAACTGTTTGTGCAATATCTGCTATTGGTCTAGATTTGACCAATCCTGTTGCGACACGAGTCGGCTATGATGTTTTACCGAATTATAGGAGTTTTTTTAGCATGTTTGTACGAATACTGTAGCAATTTTTTTGCCATGATATAGGAATCTGAACTATAGGAACCCATGTTATAGGGGGGTTGACTGTATTCCTTTAATTAATAAATTATTATTGATTTAACAATTTCCTTTATTTATAACAGAAAATAATGTATTTATGTAATGCACTTTCTGTTTAATTATTTAAAATTTAAATATAAAGAAGAATCATTATATCAGAATACAAAGTCAGTTATAAGATTCATTATAAAATATATATATTCTATAATGATTTATTTTGATTGAAAATTTTCCATAGAATTATATCTTGTAATAATTTAAAAATATTTGCTATGTAATTAGGCTTTTACTTTTTATTCTAATGCCTTTGTTTTAATAATTATTTATTTATATTATTTAAAAATCAGACTCTTAATTCCTATTTATTTTTGTAGTTAGTATCATAACTTATGCAGATAAACTACAGTGGCATACTACTTTCCTCTTAGTGCTCTCTGAGTGGAAAGAAGCTTCATCCTCCCAAATAAAAAAGTGGCATACAACTTGTACCACTATATAACTTGCAAAAAATTGTTAGAATGGACATAAAACTTTTGTTTAACCAGTATATATATTAGTGCTTTTTATCATTTCTTTTAGTAATAATTTCACTATAAATAAACAAGACATTTATGTTGTATATACAGTATACAAGGTCTGTTAAAAAAAATACGTGGATTGACGTCATAAAACAAAATGTACTTTATGTAGAAGTTACATGTCTGGGTCTCCTTCAAAGTACTCTACATCCCAACACACACATACTTATCCCAACAGTGTTTCCACTTGTTGAAACAGTCCTGGTATGCTTCTTTTGTAATGTCTTTCGGCGACTTCATCACATTTTCCTTAATCTCGGGAATCATCTCAAATCTTTTTCCTTTCAAGGGTCTCTTGAGTTTGGGGAACAAGAAAAAGTCACAAGGAGCAAAGTCAGGTGAATAGGGGGGAAGAACAGTGATCGCATATTTGGCCAAAAACTCACAAGTTCTAAGGGCTGCATGGGCTGGAGCATTGTTGTGATGGAGAAACCAGTCGCCACTCCTCCACATTTCTGGCCTTTTGCGACAGATGGCGTCCCTCAGACATTTCAGAACTTCAATGTAGTAAGTCTGGTTCACTGAGGAGCCTTGGGGAGGTACTCGTGGTGAACAACACCCTTAGCATCAAAGAAAACTGTCAGCATCACCTTGACATTGGATCGAACTTGGCGAGCTTTTTTGGGTCTGGAGGACCACTTCAAACATGCTGCACACTTCATAGCAACATTACCGTAAGCCGTATTGAGCATAGCAAATGTTTTAGTTGCAGATTTTCCAAGTTTAATACAAAATTTCACAGCAAGTCATTGCTCCATCAGGTCATTCATTCTGAAATCTGACAAATGAAAAAATTGCACTTCACTAAAAACCGTGTAGCTAATCAACAAATAAATATATCTGTAATCGGGAAATGGCTTTATCACCAGATGATCTGTACAAACCTAGTGACACCAAACGGATTCCCCTGGAACCAACTAGAGCCATGCAATTCAAACAGTCTGCATATTTTTTGAACAGACCTCGTGTATATATATATATATATAGTAGAGCATCGATTATCTGAATGTCGATCAACTGAAACGTCAATTAACCGAAAGCTTTCCAGTCAGCAAATTTAAATTTTCGCTAGTGCTGTGGCACTGCAATCTTTGGCTATGTCTTGGGCTACTCCAATATTATTTTTGTTGGTGTGTGTGTTTTAGCTGGTAGCACTAGAGCGACCATGAGAGGTTACTTAAGGATGTGCCAGGATTTGAACAAATTTCAACATGGGACAGGTTAATATATTTTTTCATACATAATTGGTTATTCGAAAAAGCAATTTTCCAAACAACCCCAGTTCCCAATTGATTTGGATAATCGATGCTCTACTGTATATAATATAATATATATATTATATAGCCACTTTGAAGATATACAATAAATATATATATTGAATATCTTCAAAGTGGCTATAGAAAACATGACACTTATAATATTACAGCATATAACATGACATAAATATGCAATTTATAAGGTGTCTTCTCAAATATTCCATTTTCCTCCCATTTCTTTTATTTCATTTCCATTATCAATTCATTTCATATATAATTTTAAAGTATATGAATCAAAACAATGGAAAATATAGAATATTTAAGATGGATTATCCTAGAGTATATAAGTGTCAAAAGTACAAATGACTGCTGAATGCCAAATTTATACATTATTACCACCTTGCAGAGGTAAGAGAGCTCAATGAACCACAGAGTAATAGTGGCAGAAGCATAAGCTTCTAGTATAGTATCTCATGTCTGTAAGGTCTAGAGAGAAAGGAAGCAAAGAATGACTCATAAGTAGTTCAAGCTCTGTCTGATCCAGAGGGTGTCTGCTGAACAGTATCTACTTGACATGTTAGGAGAAATTGATTTATGAACACTTGACTTTGGTTAGATATATAAGCACATCCACTTATGTAGAGAAAACAAAAATGGTTGTTACACATTTTAGCATAATACTGGCTCAGATGTCACCCAAGTAACCAAGGTCCATATTTCTTTAAGCATAGGCTCATGTTCAAAAAATCTATCACATTCTTTCTGGCTCCGAGTGGGGAATATAGTGCTGGTCCAAGTATGGTTACTGTATCACAATCACCACCACAACCTCATTAAGACACAGATGATAACATACATCAAATTCAACTAAATTGCATTACTGGTAATTTAGCCACAACCATCAAAACTAGAAAATTTGCCAATTGGACATAATAAATTAATGAATTCATCATCCATACTTACTAGGTTGCAGAACTCAAAAAAAGACATGACAGTTTACATAGTACAGACAACAGATTCATACATAACAAATTTACACAATAATATCCATATTTCACTTACAGGAAAAAGTTGTTGATCAAAAAAGAACAGTTATATGCAACAATGTTATTCTGCAAAGAACACTCAAACATGTAAAACAGAAAGTTGAAAGATTAGAAACACTTAGAAATATTAGATAACACTGAAAATCAAACATTAATTGATAATACTTCATCAACAGTCTAATGAAAATGTACACAGAACAACCATCATAAACAAAAACATAAATACAGCAATGATAACTAATAACACTATTGCGAGACCCAAGCTATACTTGAGCTCAGGTGTTAAAAATTTAATAAAAGTGTCAAATCAAGGGATCAGGCTTTGATTCTAACACTTGTAAAAACTGGAAGAAAAATCTAAGTAAAATTGGGAAAGAATAAAATTATTCTTCGAGAAAAATTATTCAAGAAAAGAAAAGTTTTTAAATAACCTTAAAAGGAGATATAGTGGGAGATTATGTGTCATACATACAAGAATTTGAAACAATAGTTAAATATTAGCAGGAATTTCAAAGTGTGATTAATTTTCCTTGATCGAATGAAACACAATGACGAATTTGACTCTTCATAGCTCGAAAAGGTCTGTTATATACCTGGCTGGATACAAGAAACTGACCAATCAGAAAGCTACAGATCCGGTTAAAGAATCCTTTAAAAGCCTGGATCTCAAGGACAAAGGTGGACTTCCTCTGCATCCCATTCTGAAGTTGTTTGTCTAGTCTGCTGTGCTCCATGTACGGACTCTTCATCCCTCCCTTCACTCTGCTGCCTTACACTATTTGGGATTCTACACTTTGTCAACCAGACTTCTTGACCCTCATAGAAACATCTCATCTGACCGCCCCAGGGCCATTGACTCTATCAACCAGCACCAACAGTCAATGAGATACACTGTAGAGTGTAATTGCAGCTGTCTTCCTCACTTCCACATCAGATAAATCCTGACATTTGGTTATCTCCAATTCGGTGACCTCACATTATAGACAGAATTAACACTTTATAACATTTATATCAAGAAAATCATTAAATATACTGGTTTAGAATCCACTCATATAGATCACAAATACTAAAAATAATTTACACATTAAAACGATTAGGGAAAAATCTTCCATTATCTAAATGTACACATAAAAAGTACTTTCAATCAGATTCAACCCTCTCAGATCTAGAGTGGTCGCTGTGGAAATATAACTTGGTCTTAAAGTACAGTTGCAAATAGGTACTGTACGTTTCAAAAAGAGATAAATTTGTTTCAATTGAATGCTTGAAAATCAAGGGCCGTCTATATTTTATTAACAAAGATTTGTGGAAACATACAGATAGTCAATCATGTTTAAAAGAATCAAAAATCATATTGAGAAATCATTGCAGTTTTCAAGGAAAATTTATTTTATTTTTATTATTAATTTTTATTTATTTACTTTAAAATAAAATTAAAATTATAAAAGTTATAATCTTAGACTGTGCAGAAGAAAACATAAANTACAATAGCCACGATTATTATTTTAAAAAGTTTACGTTAGGCTTAACATCGACGAAAATTTAATGTGAAGCGACACGCAATGGAGAAAAATTTCAACATGGGATAGGTTAATATATTTTTTCGTACAAAATCGGTTATCCGAAAAATAAGTTATCCAAACAACCCCAGTCCCCAATTGATTCGGATAAATGACGCTCTACTGTATATAGAATAGTTTTTGTATCCATTTGGTATTAAAAGCTAAAGGTATTTGGTGTTTAAGTGAAAAAGACAAATAAAAAATAAAATTAAAATTATATAAGTTATAATCTTAGACTGTGCAGAAGAAAACATAAACTTTGTTTTTGCATTTTAGATGCTTATGACTCAAAATAAAATTAAAATTATAAAAGTTATAATCTTAGACTGTGCAGAAGAAAACATAAACTTTGTTTTTGCATTTTAGATGCTTATGACTCAAATCAGAGTTATAGTAACTGTTAAGCATGAATAAATTTATAAGTTATTGTCATATAAAGAATATCCCACTGTTACAACAACATTTATGATTTAATTATTGCACCATGTTGTTAGCAAGGGTTGGCTGATTGGAATTGGAAATAATTATTTTAACATTCTAGTTTTACTGTTGTAAGTTAGGGACTATTTGTATATCAAAATAGGTTGACAAAATCTGAAAGTTGCTTAAAATACTTTTTTATAGTTAAAACTAATAGATTCCTATACTTGAAAGTTAGATATATTACTGGACATTATTAAGTTAAAAATTAAATTATTGTGTTTTGAATTTGTTATCAGTTAACTTGGACATTTAATTTAACCAGAATAATTAGAAAAAATTAATTAAATTTTTAGGGGTTAGCTGCACTTATTTCTCAAGCTGAAGGAGAAAGTGGAACACAACAACATACCATTCGTATGGTTCTTCGACAGCCAGATGGTATGGAGACAGAACAAACAATACCTGTGTCAACTATGGGTGGTTCTACTTTAGTGACAAGTGATGGTCAAGAAATACATGTTAGTGATGAAGGTACTTTACAAATGGTAGCAAATCTTGCTGAACAAGCAGCTTCAGGCACAACTGGTGATGGAAATAATCAGGTAATGTTAAAATTTACAAGTTTTATACTTTTTACATTAATTTTTCCATATCTGTCTGTTTTCTTGTATTTGTTTAGTTACTGATTAGGTTATTAATTTCAAAAATGTGGCCTTATTTTTTCTCCTCTTCTACATCTTCAAATGGAAAAGTTATGCAATATCAAATTGACAAACTGTTCTCCATTTTCAGATTTTTCAGTTATTGCATCTTCAAAAAACAATATTCTAATTAAATCCAGTCTCCTTAAACAACTATAATTGATGAATTTGCACTATTCAAACTTGTATATTATAGTTGTTTAACCTGTCCTACATTGTTCCTGAAAATATTCGTGTTGACCTCATTGACCTGCGTGGGCGATCCTGAATATTTTTGTGTTTACATCGGAACATTTTTGATACTAGATGTCGCTATGCATCACAATTTTTGTATTAAAACGAACTTTTAAAATATAATTTTTTTTGTTTCTATATTATTCAATAAATTTATTTTATTTGTGCAAACATAAAAAAATAATTATTAACGATACAGTAAATGTGATTATTATTTTAAAAAAATTTTAGGCTTAACATCGACGAAAATTCAACATGGCATCACAGGCAACAAATAAAAATTTCAACATTGAATAGGTTAAGGAGACTGAATTTAATTAGAATATTGTTTTTTGAAGATGCAATAACTGAGAAATCTGAAAATGGAGAACAGTTTGTTAATTTGATATTGCATAACTTTTCCATTTGTATATATGTAACTTTTCCATTATATATATCCAGTGGTGATATTCGAAATATTTAACAAAGGGTCCGCTAACAGAAAATTTTTCCTTAACAATTTTTTTTCGATCAAATGGTGCATTAGCAACATTAGCGCAAAAACTGACCTTAAGATAACCATATAAATAAAAAAGATGCGTTCGCAAAATTAAGTCAGTTAAAATTTAACCTTGTTTATGCCAAAACAATATTTTTTGATAAATATTAAAAAAAGTGTTCAAAATTATTTATTTTGTACATACAGTATTTTAATATTTTTCATTCAAAATATTTTATAAACATAAAAATTGGCTTTTTCTGAAGAAAAAACTTTTCTAAATCATTTATTTTATCATTAGGTATTATTATAATAATAGACAGATGTCATCGTTTCTCAAAATACAATATCTTTTTTATTCTGCTGTCGATAGCGGGACACGTGTTCCGCAGCCATCTTGTATTTTCTCGCGCGCGTGGGATTGTGGGATCTCTTGTATGACTGGACCTAGTTTCAAGAACTCTCTTGAGTCGATCACGATTAAACCTCGTTTCAGTGGAGATTGAAACGGTCGATGGAGGTTGCACCAAGGCGAACGGGGTATAAGGCTCTAGTTTAGTAGTGTTACAGAGTATAATACGTATATTTTAATATATTTTTTAAAAGAAACAAAACCACTGAGAAATGTTACGTGTGTTTAACAACGGGTTCGGAAAACTTTGAAAATGTTAACAACGGGTTCGGCCGAACCTGTGCGAACCCGCTGAATATCACCACTGTATATATCAGACATGAGCAAATGTGGCTCTGAGAGCTGCATGTGGCTCTTTTTGAGTTACATGCAACTCTTGCTGAAAGTGTTAATTTCTGCTTTTTATTATTATTTTTACAATTTTATTTCCACAAAATTGTGAAAATATGTTTATTAAAAAAATTCAATATTTGTTTTATATTATATTTATATTATATAATAAAATTGCGGTACAGAATAAAATAGTACAGAACTGCGGCTTTCGTGCATTTTGCAAAACCTACATTTTGGCTCCCACTGAACTCTTGCTTGCCCACCCCTGATATATACAGTATAATGGAAAAGTTACATATATACAAATATACAAATGGAAAAGTTATGCAATATATATATAACATACATAGCAGACATAAAAATGTTTTTTCTTCCTATTTTTTCCCTGTAAGTTTTTTTTTTCATAGTAACAACTGTATAACTACTTTTGCACCCCCTGGATATACAGTACAGATGTGCATTGTGCCTGCATCAATAAATATCTACCACACTTGGAACTATCAAAGTTCAGTAAATAAGGTGCCATATACTGATACATTAAATATAACATGAAGTAATTGTTTGTACTGTGTTTTATTTTATTTCAAAACAAAAGAGAATAGAAATATTTTTATTTATGTTGAAATCAATTGGCAGTATTATTATGAGATTCTAATAAAGTTAATTTTGGTTTTGATTTTGACTGCTTGAATTTGGTATTTCCATGCACAGACAAATACAGTAAAACCTGCCTGTGGTGACCACCCACAGTTCCTTCAAAAAGTTGTTGTTTATACAGGCGTTCATCCAATACAGGTGGTGCTGTAATACCATATTTTTTAGCCATTTCTACTAAGCAAAACTCTAGGTGAACAAAAATAAGCAAATTTTTACAACAATAGAGCTATATTGGTATTGTATTAATATTTAATATCTTCTTAAGTACAATAAGAAAAATTATTAATCAATAATAAAACAATTTTATTATTTTTTCTCATAATACGATTTCATTACATGGAAAAAGGAAGGTTGCCTGTAAAAACTAATTTTTGCATTAATGTGTTTATTTTTTTTTTAATATTTTGAAATTTGAAAATTACTTGGATATTATTTTTCTAAAAATATTGTGGAAATAAAATAGATTGATTCAGAAACTATTTATTGTACATGTACTGTATATGACCTTAAAAAAATAAATGTTATCAAACAATGAGATCAGCTGATTAATTGTATTGTGTACAATATTTTATATCCCTAAGGAAAATACTGTAGATCTACGGTAAAATTAATTTCGTTTTCCCACAGTTAAACTTTGTCACTAATTGCCGCTGTGATAAACCATTTTCACTTTTTCTGATAACTTTAACACCATCTTCTAACAACAGCACTTTGCATTTCTTTCATTTTTCGGAGAATTTTGAACAAACTGAAATGAATATCCTTTGTTGCTAGACTAATTCAATAACATCTGCACCTAATTTCAAGGGTGGTGAAATGGGTTCGAACAAGAGTTTAGACTAATTCATTATATTAGGACAGGGAAACGTTGTTGAGATGAGTTCGAACAATAGTTTAGACCAGATATATTCGTGCAAGTGGTCGCTTATTACAGTTGTTGTATGTTGTTTTGGACCAAAAATCGATGCTTGCGGTTGCATTACACAGGTGGTAGTTTAATACAGATAACTTATATGAAGACTCTATGTATAAACTATTTCGTGCCAGAAATTTTTGCCCATTTTGACAGGTGCCTGTCAAATGCAGGTGGTTGCCTAAGCAGTTTTCACTGTACACGATATTAAGTAAACGATTTACTTAAAAACAGTCACTTGTGCATTTCTTTTCTTGTGTGTGTCGTCATATTTGATTTTGCAGTGTAGTTTAAAACTGCCAGCAACAGTATAAATCTTGGACCATGTGTTGTGTGTAGGGGAATTTTCTACTTGTGTTTAATATAAACCAATGATATTTTTAAGTTTTTTTTGTTGTTTTTTTTCTCTGTCCATTAATTACTGCATTTCTTTTAAATAAATTTATTAACAAGAAAATCATTTTCAATTCAATTTTCAAAATCAGTCTAAAAATTTCCGATTTTCTACTGTTTCTGTTAAATTGGAATGGATCCTGTGGAATTTACATGGGTTTGTACACAAATAAATGATCATTTTGTTTTTACAGAAACAAAATGATCATTTAGAACATATCCTGGCTGTATATCGAGAAATGAGAGTATTTTTACAATGTTTTTTGTTTTGCTTCAGAACACTATTTTTGTTTTAATTTATAATAATTCTTTATATGCAATATTAGCTTTATATATAGATTATAACCTAATTACTGATTGATTAATTAATTAAGCAGACAGTTACTTAAAAAATAAAATTTCTAATTCGGAACATTTATTTTTCAAAAATATCTCATAAACATTCAGATATTTTTCCTAATGTTCCATCAGTTTCTGAAAATTTGCTGCATAAAAGTCTTTTGATTGCTGTCAGAACCAAGGCAATAGACATTCCTGAACTTCATCACTTGAAGAATGTTTGTCACTCAACTGTTCTCTTAGAAGTCCTTGTTTGTGACAACTGCATTTCTTTTATTTTTATTGATTTTTTTAGCTACAGTTCATTTTAATGAATAAATGTTTTCTCATTTTAGTCTTTTTTCATAGTACAAAACATAAACCAAGCTGAAAGCTTATTGAAATAATCAAATGAAAGAAGCAGTACACCTTGTATAACTCCAGCAATATATTTAATTAACCAAAAATGTTTTCCACCTATTTCCATATGCTTTACTTCAGTTAGAACAATAAACTTAAATTTAAGTTTGATGTTCCAACCGAGTTATACAAGGTGTATTGCTTTTGTTTGGTTACTTCTCCAGTTTTGTCAAATTATATTGAAATACTAAATTACCAAACGATTGCCTAAATATCGGGCTATAATATGGCTAATTAAATGATTGGAATAAAGTAATTTGACATTAGAGGTAGGCGTTAGGTGCCATCTCTTCCAATCATTTAATTAGCCATATTATAGCCCGATATTTAGGCGATCGTTTGGTTTATTATATACTATTCGGGCATTGAGTTGTTGTTATTTATTTATATTGAAATACTTTTTGGCTTTTAAAAAGTATATATTGCTTTTTGTTTTTTGAGTTAGTTTTCCAAGATTAATTTTACTGTTGTTATATTTAACTTGTAATTGTACTATTGTTAAGGTTAACTTAATATTATAAACAATATTAAATGAAGTTTGTAATACTTCAATTGTCAGTATTAAAACTATGCCAAGATATATAAAATCTAATTGGTTTTTGACTTTATTAATTGATTTTTGTAGTTTACTGTATTAAATTTTATCCTGGTCTTTAAATAGTCATAATAAAGTAGAACAAAACAAGTACTGTAATATTCTGCAATCTGATTGCTCAATATTCATATTTAATTGTCATTGAGTACCGTGAAAAAATTTTTATGGTTAGAATAAAATATATATTTATATAGCCAATTTTATTATTATTTTTTTAGGTGATCCTGAATGCTGGAAATTCTTATCAAACTGTAACCATTGTTCCATCTGACACTAATCCAGGAGAAGTTAGTTATGTATTAATAGTTTCACAGTCAGAAGATGGAAAAGATGACTGTCAGAAAGATGTAAATTTAGATATGTCTGTTTATGATTTTAATGAAGCTGAAAAACATGGTGAAGTTGTTGCTGAAGAAACAGGACCTGATGGAATTAAAATGAGAACCATTAGGATTACTACAAAGAAAAGTCAAACTGTAACTCAAGCTCATATGTGCAATTATTGCAATTATACCAGTCCAAAGCGTTATCTATTATCACGTCATATGAAATCTCATTCTGAAGAGCGACCCCATAAATGTAGTGTATGTGAAAGAGGATTCAAGACATTAGCATCATTACAAAATCATGTGAATACACATACTGGAACAAGACCTCATCAATGTAAGGAATGTGAAGCAGCATTTACAACATCTGGTGAATTAGTTCGTCATGTTAGATATAAGCATACACACGAGAAACCACATCGTTGCACAGAATGTGATTATGCTAGTGTTGAACTTAGTAAACTGAAGCGTCATATGCGTTGTCATACTGGAGAACGACCTTATCAATGTCTCCATTGTACTTATGCTAGCCCTGATACGTACAAATTGAAAAGACATCTTCGAATTCATACCGGAGAAAAACCATATGAATGTGATGTTTGTCATGCAAGGTTTACTCAGTCAAATAGTTTGAAGGCACATAAATTGATCCATTCAGGAAATAAACCTGTGTTTCAATGTAACTTTTGTCCAACAACTTGTGGAAGAAAAACAGATTTACGTATCCATGTTCAAAAGTTACATACAAGTGATAAGCCACTGAAGTGCAAACGTTGTGGAAAATCATTTCCAGACAGATATAATTATAAGGTTAGTTTTATTTCATAGATTTTGTAAATTTATTTTATATATTAAATAATTTTTACAACAGTAGAGAACAATGCTATCTGAATTAATGATATTCATTTATTTAATTTTTATACATTTCAAATTTTATATTTTCTTTATGATAAATAGAAAAAAAATGTATTAAATGATTTACATTGTGTTGGATAAAATGATATAAAATTTAATTTTTAATTTTTAAAAATTTGAAATATTTAGCAATTATATTTTTTAAATTAATTCAATTAGGTCCATGTAAAAACTCATGAAGGAGAAAAATGTTTTAAATGTGATTTGTGCTCCTATGCATCCATATCTCAACGTCATTTAGAATCCCATATGTTGATACATACAGATCAGAAACCATTCCATTGTGATGAATGTGATCAATCATTCCNTGGGTACTAGGGGTGTGTGAGGGAGAGGTAGTGGTTGCATGTGAATATTGAAAATGGCAATGCCATGTGGCATTTGGGCAGTGAAACTTTGGATCACAAAGTAATAGGACATTGAAATTGGTGTTGATTGATACAGAATCTACAATATTATTTAGTAATAATAACTGATCAAATAGAATTTATAAATTAGGTCCATGTAAAAACTCATGAAGGAGAAAAATGTTTTAAATGTGATTTGTGCTCCTATGCATCCATATCTCAACGTCATTTAGAATCCCATATGTTGATACATACAGATCAGAAACCATTCCATTGTGATGAATGTGATCAATCATTCCGACAGAAACAATTACTAAAACGTCACAAGAATTTATATCATGATCCAAATTATATTCCTCCAGTTCCCAAAGAAAAAACTCACGAATGTCCAGAATGTGGAAAAGCTTTTCGGCATAAGGTAAATAATACAACTTTAAACTGACTATATATATGTAATTATTAAAAATTATTAAAATTAATATATATATTAATCATCATGCCAAAATGTGATGTGTTGAAATTATACTGGATTTCATCAGATGAAATATGTCTTATTATATTTAATATAATAATATTCTTTAATTCATTTTTTATATATGATATTAAATATAGTTTATACTTGCTTTTAATAAATATTTTTATTAAAACTATTTATGTTTAAATTACTGTTTACACTGCAGACATTCAAATGTCACTATGTACATAAATGTATATAATTTTAAAATGTTTAATTTTTAATTATTTTACAGTTCTGTTTTATATAACAAATTATAACATATAATAGATTGTATAACAAATCATAATTGGTATATTTTTCAATTAAATACTTGAACATAAATACATACAAACATAATTTTATCAAACTCTCTTGCAAAATTTATTAATGGAATAATTAATAATTCTTATATAAATATTTCATTTGATAAATCATTTCATTAATAGGTGGATGGATGTACTATGACTAAGCCATAATCACAGACAAAAACAATCAATCAGAACAGATTACATGTTATATTGGTTGACAAACAAAACAAAACAAAAAAAATAATAATAAATATCATATTATATAAATATTTCATTTGATAAATCATTTCATTAATAGGTGGATGGATGTACTATGACTAAGCCATAATCACAGACAAAAACAATCAATCAGAACAGATTACATGTTATATTGGTTGACAAACAAAACAAAACAAAAAAAATAATAATAAATATCATATCATAGACATATCCATTCTGAATATCCATAAAATACAAAATATTAGCATAACATACTGAAAAAATTAGCAAATATTCGGAGCTTTAGCAATGAAATGAAGTGCCTGTGGAGAATTAAAAGTATTTATTGTGCCTATAAGATATTTCTTGCACAGACATTATACCATATGAACTACATTAAAATTTAGAAATAGGGCTTAAAAAACAGTGTATACAACACATTACAGAAAGCAGCCATACAAAAATAACTCAGTTAGGAAATCTTTAAGTTCAGATATGTATATAAACAGCATATAGCTACAGAAAAACTGTTGCTGTGGTTGTCTTGATTTTAGGCTGGCATAACACTGGGCATTAACATTAAATAGAATATAATTCAATAATTAATAATAATAATAATAATCATTAGAAATTGAAATATTACACTTAAAATCAGTTGATTTGAATGAGACGTTGATTCACGAAGAATCAAGACTAGACTTAAACTTTGACACTTCTTAGAATATAAAATATTTTACTTTTATCGAGTAGAATTTTTGATAATATACAAATGTTCTCTTTCAATTGCATCATTTCATTTTTCTGTAAGAAGTCTACTTTTATTCAAACTCTTCATGTCTGTCTGAATCAATGGCTGTATTCAGAAAACTCAACAGTTTTAATTGAGCAGAGATATGGTAGCAAACTAGCTAGTAAATATTCACAGTGAATCTGCTGAACTATGACCAGTTGATTCAATATAAGATCATCATTATTTAGAAATAAAGCTTGCAAAAGCCAGCTTAAGATTTTTATTTATTTAAGATTTGCATGAAGAAGAAAGATGAAGTTGATTATATAATATTTTTTGTTTTAAGACCAAATTATAAGACTTACCTGAATGAATATATTATTAGAGTTGATATATTTAATAACTAAATTTTGTGAGAAAATTAAAAAATATTTTTCTTGTCATAATCTGATCAGATAAAACTGAATAACAGATTAGAAAAAATAATGACATGTTTTTTTGGAAATCAGGATAAATGAGATAAGTATAACTACAGGAGTCTTTGGCTTTTGGACATAATGTATTTGTAAAAAATGTATATGAAAGTTGAATACTTGAAAGTCAAACAGTAGATTTGTATGTTATAAAGAAAGTTTTTCCCATAGAGCAAATAAAACAAATTTTAAAATCTGTTATTTAGGTAGGAAGGTTATTATTTAGGTCTTATATCTTTACTTTTGTTTTAGAGAATATAATATAATATGCATAAAATACTATTTAAAGCATTAAAACTATAAATTAAACAGGAAACAGACAAGAAAAGTTAATTTTTATAAATGATTTTGCTATTACTGAAGCCAAAACAATCAGAAAATATTACTATGATAAATCTGAAGTTTTATTTTTCATCTGAAACTGTCATGTGCATTTGTCATATAAAAAGTAATTTGAGGATACCAAAGTATTGTATGTGAAAGAAGTTGTCCAAAAGTAAAATATTCAAAAAGTTTAGGACTGCCTGTAGTTAAAATTGTATCTTTAAAATGATGATTAAATTTGCTTGAAAGTTTTAGTAAAAAATATTCTAGATTAAAGACATCTTGTGACTTGTTGTTTGAAATAACTAGGATAATCAGTTGAAAAATTTGCAAAATATTCTTTTTGGATAAATAATATATTTATATATTTCTTATTTTACATTATTGCTTATATAACTCCTACATTATATAAATATAAAAATTACAAATTGCCAGAATACTTCAAATTGTATTATAGTTTCATATACTGTTTGATCATTGCATTAAAATATAAAAGCTTGATAGAATTTTTATATTTGAATAATTTTTATTTTTGCTTTCTTTTTTTAAACAGTAAGATAACAAACAATGATAATATAAAATGAGGAAATATATTCTTTTTAAATAGATAAAAAAATTAATTTTTTTTAACTAAAATTTGAATTTTTTAAATTTAAGCTTTAAGTCCTTAAAATTAGACAAAATACAAAAATATTTTTAATAGAATAAATTTAGTTTAAAAAGTTAGTGTAGTTTAGGACAACTGAAAAGAATGGCTTATTAAGAATACTTAATTGAAATTGCCTATTCAGAAATTGTGTTTTAGTTAATATTGACAATTTTAATGTGCTAAGAAATGCTTTACCTTATTTTAATAGACCCTTTATTACTTAGAGAACAGTAATTTTATATATGTTGTTTATCGTAATTCATATTAAAAAGTAAATGTTAAAATATATTTATTTTTAGGGCAACCTTATTAGGCATATGGCTATTCATGATCCAGATGCATCAGCAGCTGAAAGAGCTGAAGCACTTCGCATTGGTCAACCAAAGGGACCAGGAGAACAAAGAGACGGGGAAGAAGAAGATTATGAAGAAATGGAGGAAATGACAGTAGATGTTGATCCTCAAAATCAGCAAAACCAGCAGGCAAGATTTTAAATTTTAATAATTTATTATTATTGTTATTATGAAATAAAAACACAAAAGAAAAAACATTGTAAATAATTTTTCAAATTAGAGAAAAACTAGAAATTAAACACTAAGTATTGACTGGCCTGTTATAAATGGCAAATTTGGCTAGTAAATACAAAAGTTTCATATGATTGTATATTTATTTACATTATTATATTCTACTTGGTTTTTACAAAAACCAGGTAGAATATAGAGAACAAAAACTGTATGAAACAATATATCTCATATGATACAAAAACATTATTGTACATAAAGTATTTATAGATAAAAAAAATTTCATTCAGGTGTGTGTAAGTGCAGAATAGCCAATTGAATTGGTTATTAGACAGCTTTAATAGCGAACATCATAAAAAAATTTTTTTCTTCAATAAATAAGTGACAAAAAATCATTTTTATCTCAAAGATGGGTTTGAAAAAAAGCAATTCAAATTTGCCCTTTACCATCAGGAAATGACAGTTTTTTTTTTTATCAAGCTCTTTGCAATGATAATTTTGAAATAAGATTTGGCCAGATATTTGAAAATATCAGGATTTATTACCCAAACAGTTTTCAGCTTTACATTACATTCAATAATATTAGTGAAATGCATAAAAATGTTGGTTATTAATTAATTAATGGCCTTAACCAAGAATATATATTTCAAAAACCAAATATTGTATCCTCTCCTCATCAAACAATATATTCTGTCATGGACTATTAGTATATTTGCTGTTTTAGTAAAATCTAGATCAGTGTTATTTAACTTTTTTTATCTCACAGCACACTTGAACCTATAATTAAATTTCCATGGCAAAAATTTCCTCGGAATAAATCACATGATTTAAAGTTGTGTTTGTAAACATTCTATCACATTACTTACCACTTAACCTAATTCTTTTTGTCTATATTTCTGTGACTTTAATAAAACAGTATTGTTCTTCCTTAAAATAGCAGCTGATTACAACAATAGTTATTTAAATTAATAATTTTCATTTATATAAGAAAAGCAATTAACATTAAGTCTTAATTTGCATTTTAAACCTGCCCAATTGCTATTTCTAAGTTAAAATAATTTGAATTAAATATGGGCAATTATAGATATGTTTTCGATTTAAAGAAAATTTCATTTCAAATGAAATAACCCAGTGTTATGCACATAATTTTGTTTATGAATATATATTTTCTGCTACATTATGTATATGTTTGTTTATTATAACAATGAAAAACTCGTATAATCAGTTTAAAGAGGTTTTTTTATTTTGACACATTCACTTATTGTTCTTTGGGCTTCTTTTGAGAATACAGTAGAGCATCGATTATCCGACTCAATTGGGGACTCAGGTTGATCGGATAACCGAAAAGAATGAAAAAAATACATTATTAATATAGTATATTAGGATATCCCATGTAATTAGTATATTAGTATATTGCTATTAACCAATTTCGCATTGAATTTTCATCAATGTTTAGCCTAACAAAATTTTTTTAAAATAATAATCGTTGCTATTGTATCGTTAAAAAGTTATTTTAAAATTATTTTACTGTTCACAAAACAAACAACCACTCATAATTAGAAAATTAAGTCTTGTTTAAATACTGGCCTCCCTTCAGTGGTTGAACTGCAGTTGCCAGCTAAAACATGCAAAAATTTAACAAAAATAATATTAAAGTATCCAAGACATAGCCAAATATTGTAGTGCCACATCACTAGCGGACATTTGAAATTTGCCGACTAGAACGGTCGGTTAACCGATGTGAGGTTAATCGGGGGTCAGATAATCGATGCTCTATTGTAATTTGTTTGATAATATTCAAAAATTTTTGCAGCACACCTGTGATTCCTCTTGTGGCACATGAGAGGATTGTAGGTGAAAATCACTGATCTAGATGTTTTTGTATAATATGTACTTGCAATTCTGTAGTTAAGTAATTAAAAATTAAAAACATATATATAAATAGCTTTCAAAGTTTTTACATGTATTATTGAATGAAATAAAAAATAAATTATATATAGGAAATATTTATTGAGGTATTTAAAACTTATAGGTTGTGGTATTTGAAGTCATTCAATTACCAACATCTGATGGTTCTGATGAACATCAACAGTCTGTTGGAACTTTAGTAGATGGTACAAATACGGTCACAATGACATCTAATGGTGAAGCAGTTACTTCACAAATTAATTCAAATCTGACTAGCCAAGTAGTAACAGCTATTAGTTCTGGAGAAGAAAATAGTGCATTAGCAGATCTCATTACTTCTGGAGGAACAATAGGTAACATTTTAAAAGTCAATATTCATTATATGTAGTTTTCCATTATACATAGCTATAACTAGTTTTTCATATTTTTGAGTAATGCCTGAAGAGTATTTTTTTTTACTTTATTATTATTTTTATTATTATTAATCCTTTGTTTTTGGTATTTAGTTTGTTGTTGTTTGCTTAACTTATCTATCATCTTCCATTCTTATCATATATCCATTTTCACTTGCATAACTATCTTTCTTGTCATATTTGCTATATTATTATTTATTCACTTATTTATTTTTCTATTCTAATTTTATAATTTTAAACATAATTTATCCATACTTTTTATTTGTCTGTAATATATTGCGGATAATTCCAGCTCTCTTTGCTGTAATAATCTATGTTTCCCATGTATAATTCAATGGCAACAATGTATATTACATATACATTTTTACATTTTACATACAGATTTTTCTCTGTACACAGATTGAGAGATTTATTTTATAAATATCTTCATGATTATTAAATGCATATCACTCTGTTGCTATTCTTATTGAGATTTCTTGAATTACACATTTGCAATCACTTACTGTTTCAATCATTTTTATATCTACCACTTCAATTGCTTGTTTGTAATTAAAGAGGTAAATGGAAAAATGGTATGCAACAAAAAAATTTTTTTAATTAAAAATACAAAAAAATATTAATTTAAAAATAAAAGAATAATAAATGTCAGTAATATGCAAGGAAATATATCTATTTATTTAGTTTAATAAAATATAGTTTCTTACACCAATGTTTAAATTTCCAGTTATAATTATTACTGAATTGCTGGCCAATTATTTGTTATTTGTTAACCTGTATTTAGGTTATTTGTATAACCTGTTATTTGATTATTTTTTTTTTATCTATTTATTGAATTACTTTCTTACATAAATTCTTTTGTCTTTAGAAATTGCTTTTTCAAATAAAAAAGTGTGTTATTTTATCAACTTTAATGTTTTTCATTTCTTGTTATTTTCTCTAGCTTTAACATTCCAGCCTTAATTACTCATATAATAAATTGTTTTATTTATTTATTTATTTTAGATAATGCTATTCTCTAATGGAATAACAATACACTTTTGTTTTAGTGCTTTGTCTAATAATAAGTTAATTTCTTATCCTATAGAATAAGTCAAAATTGCTTAATTTACAGTCTTAATTTAGATAAATAATTTTTTGTTGAGGTACTATTATTAAAATCTTCAAAAAATGCCCACTTATAAGTTACTATACTATGTTACTATATATTAGCTGTTTACAAGAATTTTTGAAAATGTTACATTATTCTGATGAGTAAAAGTTTGTTTTCCTTAAATAAAGTTTTTAATAATCTGTAAAAAAATTTTTAAAAAATTTTAAAAATACAGTGATTAATTAATTAAAAAATAAAGTTGTTAATAATGAATTTATTGATAATTTTGACAGAAGAGCTTGTTCCTGTGACTGTAACCAGCCAGATAACTCCTACACAGCCACGTCGAAGAGGAAGACCACGAAAATATCCTCTTCCTAATGATGTGTTATCAAATAATGTCACTCCACCAAAAGGTAAACAAATGAATATATTATAAATTGAAAGTGAAATAATCCATAAATTGCTGTTGATATGAATTTGGAATCTATAATAATTATTTTGTTTTAAATTTTAATTAAACATAGTTTTCCCATAAATCATAAGATATATTAGTGCTTATTATTATTAACAGTTAATTTTATTGCTATTTTGCTATTAGTCTAAAATATGATTCAGATACATATATTTTACATAAACAATTTGGAATAATATCAGTTATTAAACACCAAATATTGTACTATGCTAGTTTCCATTTAACGTATTTGAAAAAATTTTGATAATTTTTATACACAAACAAATAGAAGAAATTTTCAGGATATAAATCCAAATCTTTTCCATTACTGTTTAAAGCAGTGTTTCCCAATCTTTTTTGTGCTATACCCCACCTAAGCCTTTCTAAAATTCTTCTGCCCCCCTAACATATACAGCGGCTATATGGTTAACTTAAACCCTGGACGAGCCCATTTTCAAATTGCTCCCCTTAACAATCGAATTGCCCCCCTGTGGAGCATGGGCCCCACGTTGGGAAAGACTGGTTTAAAGAGAGGGGGGGAAATCTGTGTTAAACATGAAAGCATGATGGCTATTGTATTTATCTTTCTCCATAGTAATGCTAATACATTATAATTTTAAATTTTGGATAAATTGGCTGTGTTTACCTCTATATGTCATATATTTTAAAATCAGTTATTTAAACTGTATAATTTGATATTGGTCTCATCACAAAAATACACACATTACATATACATATGTATATGTGATGTGTGTATATAAAAACAAGTCAGTGACATTGAAGCAATGCTGCTGATCTCTGTACCATCTATTGTTCACTTTTTAACTAATTTTTTTTTAATTAACTTTATATTTTAAAAGGAGACATCATTTTCCTTGCTCTTGTTTAAAGTCAGAAAGTTGTTTTTACAGCATTAAAAATATTCTACTTTCAACTAAATTTGTTATCCAGTATTATCCAATTAAATGCATATTTCTACAGCAGTAAAGTTGATTCCCTGTGTAACCTTTTTATCATGTGGAATTATAAAATGATTTCTTCTGAAATGCAAATTGAATAATCTTGCTTAATTAACAAAAAATGGACAATTTATATGTCGGTTGACACTGGAAGTAAATGTTTTAAACTCATCAAACTTTTTGTTGGCACTCATAATGGTTTTCTAATTATAACTATTTTCAGCCTTTACAACTGTATGTATAATTACATTTACAAATTATATATACAACATTATATTGTAACTAAATATAAAAAAGACAGCTTTTTGTAAGGACAAGATCCGTACAGATCTGGAAAATCAGAATAATATTTTTAGCAGAAAAAGTCGGAAAGTCAGGAAATCTAAAAATATCGTGGAATCCATCTGTCACTCTTACTCTTTTTTGATCTGAATACATCTTTAAATTTCATTTGGTATTGAGGGTCTAAGAAAACTGAACTGACCAAAAAAAATGGCAAGATTTGTTGCGCTTATATCTCACAAACTATAAATGATAATCTAACAATTTAAATTTTGTTGGATAGAAGGTTTATGTCTGTATTTAAAATGGTGGGTACTAGGGGTGTGTGAGGGAGAGGTAGTGGTTGCATGTGAATATTGAAAATGGCAATGCCATGTGGCATTTGGGCAGTGAAACTTTGGATCACAAAGTAATAGGACATTGAAATTGGTGTTGATTGATACAGAATCTACAATATTTTTTAGTAATAATAACTGATCAAATAGAATTTATAAAGTTATAAGCTGATAAGTGTGCAAATTGAAGAAAATTTTCACAATGTTGAAGAAATTGCAAAGGAAATATGAACAGAAATATAAGTCACATAAATCATTGAAAATAAAAATTTTAAAGAAATCAGAAAAGTCCAAAATGACCAATGCCAAACAATGAAGATTGTACAGTCGACCCCCCTATAATTACGGTCCCTATAGTTACGATTCCTATAAAACTACGAAAAAATTGCTACCGGTATCCGTAAAAAATAGTAAAAGTTCCCTATAAACACCTCAAACGTCATCGGGAAGCCGAACTACTTTCCCGCCGTCCGTAGCGCCACGCTACGGAGAGATTTCTATCGTCTGGACAGTATTATATAAATTATATATAAATTAGGTACTGTACATATAATTATATATTAATTATATATAAATTAGGTACTGTATATATAATTATATATTAACTTATTGTAACTTTGTTATAATTAAATATATAATTTCCGCCGTCTAGCGTGGCGCCACGCTACGGAGATTTTTACGCTAACTATCGTCTGTCAGTATGTAAATTAGGTACCGTAAGTCTAATACAGTACTGTAATTTTATACATTTCTTGTGAAAGAAACATTTCTTATTCAACGGCGATTAAAATTATTTATATTAATGATGTCTCCGAAGTTCTACGAAGTTTTCACAGAAAAATAAGTTGTTAGAAATCGGCCGCTCTTTGCTGAGCTGTTCCGCGACGAAAACAATGTTGAGCAATGGCAATGTCGAATGGTGACACTCGGTAAGTAATCCTACAATTTTTTGTTTATAGCGTAGTTTATACGGA